CAATTTACAGGTGGAGAGAGACTTGCGATAGTAAAAATTCAGACTAGAATTACAAGTTGTGGATTAGAAGTCAAAGGGCTTCATTGGGGGGGGGGCAGTTTCACTGCTAATGAACTGATTTGGGGGAGAAGTCATTTAGCCTTCCCTGCTCTTATGCCACACAGGTCCATTCATGTGCACATGAAGCATTTATTTGGTGGCTACTCAAAGTGTATTGTCTTGCTAGGTTCTGGAGCGAGACTGCCCTGCCCTAAAGATACCTTGCAGAGAGGCTGAAAGTCCGGTTCATGGCCCTCAATATTGTCCCCGCCGTGCAGCTCCCAAAGGCGGGACTGCTCATTCCGGAGTGTCCACAGTCCAGCTCCACACTGGGAAACGTGGAGAAGCCCCTCCAGAGAAGGTTGACAGACCCTCCATCCCCCCAGCACACCCTCTGAGAACTTTGAGAACTGCAAGTCTAGAAGGATCTTTATACACTCAGAAGGGCTGCTCTATAGACAAAATGACATATTGCAGGAAAAATGAAGATCTGATGAAGAAAGAAACGAAGGGCTTACAGATGAAGACCTAACAGTGAAGGTGACTGTATCTTTTACATGACCAGAAAACTTTAGCAGTTGTTCTTAGAAAGTAATAAAGATCTAATACTGTGAATTCACTTTATGATTTATGAAATTTGACCAAACATTTTTTTCATGTAATTTTTCAAAGCAGTATTAAGATAGGGAAATACTACTTTTCTCATTTATATACAAAGAAACAGAGACCCAGATAAGTTAAATAACTTGCCTTAATCTCATGCCTAGCAGGTGGCAGAACCTGAAATTAAAACTAAGTGTTGTTCCTAAAGCCAGTCCAGTTTCCATCACCAAAGGAGAACCCAATTTAACTATATATATATATATATATATATATATATATATATATGCCTTTTAAAAATTTTTTTTCAGATAAAAAGGTCTTGACAAAACTTCAAGGCAAATAAGCATAAGCAGTTCAAATTTAAAAAGAAAATCACAAACTTCCAATTGTAAGGTACAATGACATGGCTCTTAGCTGACGCTATTGGCAAATGTCTTCTGGTGAGACTGCGGAGTGTTTTCATATTACATGCTTAAGAAGACAAAACCAAGCACCACATATATGGCCCATTAAACAAAAGAACATAATTTACGCTATAAAAAATGGTTCGCAGTCTCCCGACACAGTCACCACTATGCTATTACCAAGTTGCAGAGTGCTGTGCTTGGACCTAAGGCCTTAAGTCAATAAACTCCGAGCTCTGGCGGTGATGTTTTTCCTCCTGTCTCCTCTCCAGTGGTCATTTCTGCCCCGATGGTATTAGTTCCTTTCCCCTTTCCTGGACTCCCCTCATCTCAGAGCTCCCTGTATCGGCTGCTCCTTAGGATACTCTGCTTTTGTAATCAAAGGAAGAGCTTCAGGTTATCAAGGAAACCAGAAAACAAACAGTAAATATTCAAACGTAAAACATACATACACGTTTGTACTCATGTATGTACACACACACATACGTGCTGTCTTCTCAAAGTTTTTATCACTCCCTTCGTGCCAGTAAGTAGGCACGAACAGATGATACATAAGGTAGAAATGACATGAACTAGAGAATTATGGAAAACAGAAATACTAGCTTATGAGATGTGGAGTTGTGAAACTGAGGTTGGGTCTAGGTTAGGAGTCATAACACTAAGATGGGTGTAAATTTGGCCTTATGATTCTGAATGGATTAGCTGATTGGGTCTTATCCACATGTCCTCATCTGTAAAAGGGTTATATAATATCCACAGACCATAATTTAGTGAAATTGGTGCCTCACACTATACAAAGTATTAAAAATAATTTCTTATGATTAAATCACAAAGATAGCCATACTTCTCACACATTTATTCTCTGTCTCTCTCACAAACACACACAGACACAAAAGAAAACATTAAACAGATACAAACTACAAAAACAAGTAGGTCATTCCTCTCACGAAGTTTATATTTAAAATTTACAGCCTTGTTTCATGCATGTAAACACTAAATTCTAACTGCCAAATAAACTGGAACTAAGCTATATTCATAAAAGTCTTACAAGGCACTCATCGAATTTCATTATCCATTACTGATCATCTTTCCAATGCAGGAAAACGATGTGCAACTGGGTTTTTCCATATTTATTTATACCTGTTACAAAAACAAACCTTTCCTCCACTACTTCCATAGAAACTACTCCAAAGAAAAACTAAGCCAAAACGTCTAGAAAACCTATTGCTTCCGAAGCAGAAAAGGGCAGATTCTGTAAATAGCGGAAACCTGGGTTCCGCTGGAAGGCCCGCCTGTCAGTGGTGTACCACGGAGCCTCCCACTGACTACCTCCAAACACCCTTCTCGCCTTGCTTGCTTTTACATGTCACCTTCTTCTGTCCACTAACTAGTGAGCCTAGGAGGGTGCTCTTAAACTGGGGGGGACGGGTGGAGTTAGGAAGGTAGCAGAGGTAAAGTATTTATTTATCGTCTACGGAGCTAACCATATAGTTAAGAAAAGAGAGGAGGGATGGGGGAGCCTTAAAAAATGAACAAATTTCAGTATTGTACAAATTCATTTTTCCCATTTTCCTGAAATCTGCCTTCTGGTAACAGAACCCACCTTTTCCTAAGAGAAACGCCCTTCCCACGCTGCGTGTGGGTCTGGGAAGTTCAAGTCGGCCTATGGGATCACGGCATTCCCCCGCCACAGTGGCCGGTTTGGAGGGGGCGTGCGAGTCCAGATTAGTCCCAGTTAAATGCAATTACGGCTTTTATCAGAACTGCTGGGAACAGAACCACCCCCACCCCCCCTTTTTTTTTTGGTTAATCCTCACCTGAGGATATTTTTCCATTGATTTTTAGATAGAGGGGAAGGGAGGGAGGGAGGGAGGGAGGGAGAGAAAGAGAAACATCGATGTGAGAAAGACACATCCACTGATTGCCTCCCTCATGACCCCGACCAGGGCTGAGGATTGAACCTGCAACTTAAGTATGTGCCCTTGCCTGGGAATTGAACCCGAGACCCTTTGGTTTGTGGGTCAATGCTCTAACCGCTGAACCTAACCAGTCAGGGCAGAAAATCTCTTTTTGCTGGTGACCTGGTAGTGGTCTCATCTCCACGAGAAAACTTCCATGAGAACAGACCAAAAGCAAAGCCAAGCAATGGAGAGAATGGGATTGAGGTTAATGATCTGGCTTACGACCATGGCCTGCCTGAAGCCAAGCCCACGCTAGGACTTCCTGGTTGCTGGGGCCAGTGAATTTCCACTGGTGCTTAAGCCAGTTTATGCTAAATTTTCTGTTACTTGTCACCAAAAGCCCATATACAGAGAAAGAGATATGGAATTCCTAGTGCCAATTCAGGGCTGGGTTTGGGGACTGTTATACGTAACAGTGTAAACAATGTAAAATCATGGAATATCAATTCAATAATGCAAAATCAATCCCAGGAGCAAAGAAATAATTAGTCAGCTTTTGCATCCCAGAACTAAGGATATTACCTTGGGTCTCCAGTAAAACAAAGATGAAACACTGGAGTCATGTATGCTTATGTCTCCAAAGCACCAATTTCTCTCTCAGAAAACTGTCCTGAGAAATAAATCTTCAGGAGTCTTAATGTTGAAATCCTTAGTGAAAATAAGAGTCAATTATACAAGAACACTTTTACTAATAGCAAAAAATCTCTACACTTCGGCCAGTCTTGGTAGTCAACATCAATAAAACTATCTGGCTTAAGACTGATGTTAATTAATTTCTTGTGAGGGCGAGGAAGGCAAAAATAAACTAAAAAACTGCTTTTCTTTAGGAAATAAAATTACTTGGACAGAAGAAAAACTCTGCTTAAAAGAGAATCTTGGCCCAGCCAGTGTGGCTCAGTGGACTGAGCTCAGTCCCATGGACTGAGAAGTCCCAGTTCGATTCCTGGTCAGGGCACGTGCCAGGGTTGTGGGCTCGATCCCCAGTGGGGGGCCTGCAGGAGGCAGCTGATCGATGTTTCTCTCTCATGTCTATGTTTCTATCTCTCTCCCTTCCTCTCTCTCTAAAAAATCAATAAAAACATACTTAAAAAAAGTGAATGTCAAATTTTTCATTTAATTAGCTATCTGGAAACCTTCAGAAGGTATAAAGGTAGGGCTCAAACAGGAGCCTGGAATCCGAGGTGACTGCAACATGAAATCCTTCTGCATAAAACACAACTTAAATTACAGGAGTGATCCTGACAGTAATGTTTTAATTTGCTACAAACACATATATTTATACAGTTGACCCTTGAACAACACGGTTTGAACTGCACAGGCCCACTTATTTGTGGGCTTTTTCCCTCCCAATAAATATTGTAAATGTATTTTCTCTTTCTTATGATTCCCTAATAACATTCTTTTGTCTAGCTTACTATATTGTAAAAATGCAGTATATAATACATATAACATACAAAATATGTATAAATTGGGACATTTTTATGTTATTTGTAAGGCTTTAGGCCAACAGTAAGCTATTAGTAATTAAGTTTTGGGAAGTCATAAGTTACACTGATCTTTCAACTGCACCGTGAATGGTTGTCCAACCCCCACACTGTTCAAGAGTCAACTGTGCAGAAACAAGGAAAAGGCAAAAATGATGTATTTTCTGTGTTCCTACTAAAAATGCTCTTTCAGATTATACAAATTAGATTTATGATGACAGAGTTATTTTTCTAATTTCTTCTAAATAAGAGACTGAGACAAAAAACAAAAAACAAAAAATCTTTATGACTGGTTGATCTTAGTTCACAATTTCAAATTATGCCCATTAAATACTGCTGGGTGGAAAATCTCCGGGTGAATTTTAGAGAAGGCATTATTACTATGTACCACTGACAGAGTACATCAAAACTACTTTTGCATTATTCCCAATAACGCTACAGAGTTAACTGTGCACATAGACGACACACTAGAAAAAATGTGTAAAAGGAACACCCACATGAACATTTACCTTCCACTGCTCTCTTGAAGAACACTTTGCAGCTGCCACAGGTGACTACCCCATAGTGACATCCGGAAGCCTCATCCCCACACACCAAACATATCTTGGAAGGTCTTGAGGATCCAGTAGAAACACTTCGTAAAGTAGAGCTGGGGAGAGAAATAAAGGTTTAAATAACTAGACTGTAATGGCGCATTTGACAAGCTATACAGCTTAGCTCAAAAGTTATCATAAATCACGGCTCCATAAACAAATTCAGTGTGTACTGGTCACATACTAGGGCTCAGAACGTGCAGGTAACCCTACCAGTGGAGTCACGCGATCATCCGTTCTGTAGAGCAGAGCCTCTTCTCAGTATGGGGAAGTAACAAATAACCACGTATAAACTGCTTTCTTCCTGTTCCTATGTTTGAGGAAGTTTACCAAAAATTTGCATTCAAGGTGGGCAGGGAGGAGAAGAATCCTGAGCTGAATCATGATGAAAGTATTCTTGGCATCAAAGAACTATTATAATACTTCCCAATTCTCTTTACCCAGGCGCACATTATATATCTCAATTATGCCAGATTAAAAGAAACCCTCCTCTTTCCAAAACAATCCACTAATTGAACTTAAAAATTCTTGCTTCTACTGCCAGCAGTTTGACCCCTCCCTTCAAGCTTCTGCAGTTTTTCCATGTTACCTTACACAGGTATGTTCGAATTACCTCATTTTGCTTGCTAACTCACAGGGACACAGTCAATATTTATTTAAAGCCATATATGGTAAATATCTCAGGTATTTTTCAAGGTAAGAAACTGGCAATCATTTTTAGGGGCAAATTTAACCCGTTAAGCAGCAATCTGTACGAATATATTTAAAAGGAATCTTCTCAAGATGTATATTACTGTATTAGTTAATGGCACAGTCTGAACAAAACATCTTAAATTCTAACACAGAATCCTAGTTCTGGGACAGTTTTGATGTATATTGAGTAGACAGAGAAGCTAATTTTTTTTCATGCATAGTCTGCAGACATTTATTGAATATCTATCTACTTGCAGGCCCCATTCAAAGGTACGAAGAAAATAAATATATGCATATAAAAAACAGCGTGTGTCCTCCTAGTGGGGACGTGACCGTAGTCAGTGCCATGGTGTGCAGTCACATGGTGCCATGTGTGGGCTCAGCTCCACGCCAGAAAGGGTGGGAACAGACCCGTCAGAGAGCATTTCCAGAAAGGTGACAGCAGCCCTGCGTTCTGAAGCAGGACCAGATGACAGCCAGACCAGGAAGAGGGCAGAGGGGACAGTAAGTGTGAGGCTCAGAGAAATGCTAGCTGGTCGTGTCCAGAAAACTCTGGGTGGATTGTTATGTCCCCTTCCTGCTAGGCTTTTGTGTCTCTGGGAACCAGCAGGCATGTGGTTAAAAACAAAACAAAACAAAACAAAACAAAACAAAACAAAACAAAACAAAACAAAACAAAAACAAGACACAGAAAACATACCAGAAGGCTAGAATGGTTGGGATACCGTGATGATTTCTGTTTTTCAAATTAGTGGAAAATGTGATAATATTGCCGTGATAATTTAAAAAATGTTTTACTGTTTTAACTACGCTCAACAGAAACAGACGAAGGAACCAAGTATTCGGCTGCTCAGAGCAGTGTAGCATGACTGACTTTCTAGAAAATGACTCCTTAAATCAAGGGCTGAAACAATGTTCTCCAAAGTTGTTTCTCCTTCTGAGAAAAGAGCTCTTTATTATTTTTATTACTGTCCTTTGACTTCTTTATGGCATTCAAAACATTCCATTTCAGCACCAGTAACTTCTTCGGCAGATCAGCCAGTAAAACTCAATTCATACTCTGTCTGACTCTTACATTTCACAGGAAAATACGACTTTGTAAACATTTAGAATATAAGTGACGATCCTCATTAAAGTGTAATTGTTCTTTCACAACTACAAGCATACAGGGGATTTGTACTCAACATTTTTGTGAGCCTTGGGTTTAGTCCCAATACTTAATACTCGTCCCTCTAGTCTCTGGTACTCTCCTCTTCTGTTCAAACTCACTTTCTCAGTGATCTCATCTAGTTTCAGCTTTAAATATCATCAACATGCAAAAGTTTATCACTAGCCCAGATGCCTCCCCGGAATTTCAGACTCATTTATGCCACTGCCTGTTTGACGTGTCCACTTGAGAATCCGACATGACCTGCAACTTAACATGTCCACAGCTTGGCTGACCTCTCCCTGCCTCCAAACCGGATCCTCCCACAGACTTTCCCAATTCAGTTAATGGTGAGGGGTTGAATCATGTCCTCCCCCAAATTCCTACCTTGAAGACCTGGACCCTAGGAACTCAGAAGGTGTCCTTATTTGGAAATAGGGTCATAGCAGATATAATTAGTTAATGATAATTAGTAAATTAATTAATGAGGCCATTCTGGAGTAGGGTGGGCCCCTGATCCAATGTGACCGGTGTTCTTATTAAAAAGGGGCAATTGGGACACAGACACACACACAGGGCGAATGCCACGTGCAGGTGGACGTGGAGACGAAGCCAGGGATGCTTTCGTGAGCCGAGGAAGGCCACCGATGGCCAGCAAACACCAGAAGCTAGGACAGACGCACAGAACAGATTTTTCCATCACAGCCTTCAGAAGGGACCAATGCAGCCGACTTATTAACCTTCGACTTCTAGCCCCCAGAACTATAGAATAATGTCTGTCGTGTAAGCCAGCCAGTTTAGATTGTGGTATTTTGTTACGCAGTCCTAGCAAACTAATACAGCGACTTGGACTCACCCGATTCTCCTTTCCCTCACACGGCACATCCGATCTGTGCAATTTCATTCACTTTACTCTCAGAACGCATTCGGATTCAGACCACTTGCCACAACCTCCCCTGGTGCTACTCTGGTCCAAGCTACCAACACCTCTTACTTGGGATCTGCAAAAGCCTCCTAGCAGATCCCCTCATTTCTTCTCGCCCCTTTCCTTCCCCTGTAGCCAGAATGAGCCCAGTCACTCCTTTGCTCAAAACCATCCAAGGGCTTTCCCTCACACTCAGAGTAGACGGCCAGGTCCTCCCTATGACCACAAGACCACAATCTGGCCCAAGATGTCGCTAACCTCTCTCACTCGTGGACTGTACTTCAGCAATAGTGGCCTCCTTGCTAGCCCTCCAAACTCACGACCTCAGGGCCTTTGCACCTGCAGACTCGCCTTCACCTGGCTATCTGCACAGCCCCCTCTCTCATCTCCTTCAGGACTTCATCAGAACATCCCTTTCCCAGCCAGGCCTTCTCTGACCACTCTGCTGAAAAGACCCTTCCTCAGAACTCCCTCCCCTCCTTGCTGCTTTAGTTTTCTTCCTGACACCCATCATCATCTCATGTTGTCTACGTTACCTCTCTAGTCTGTTCACTGTTTCCCTCCCCCGCACAAAAAAAGGAGACTCGACGGGGGCCAGGATTTTCTTCAGTGTTACTCACCACTGCACATGGAACTGTACTTGGCACACAACAGGCACCCAATCAACACCTGAATAACGGGGTGATTTCAGCTAAGTGGCATTTTCACAACAGTCATCACAAAATCCACCTCGTCATCAATTCTGAAGGCGTGCTGCATTCCTTACATAAAGAAATGTGATTTGTTTTTAACTGTCTGGAGAGTGAAAAGTGTGTAGCAGAAATAAATTAAGAGAAATTAAAGAGAAAGACTAGTATAAAAAAGATGTACAATCTAAATGAAAGCAATGCATTTGTTTACTTGTAAAATTAAACCAAACACGAATTATTTTTCCTTCTTGTTCACCAACATCTTTCAATGACAAAAGAGCAAATTTGCTCCTAACGACTTTCTGCAGCTGTCTCCTTCTTCCATTTCTGGGACACCGGGCTGGGCTCACTCTCCTAACAATGCCTCCTCTATTTTTTAGGCCCTTATTTTCTTGATCACCAATACAGGCTTCCTTGGGAGTTCTACCTCTGGCCACATTTTTTCTTGTTTCTACACTCTGTCCCTTCATGCTGTCATCTCATCCACCACCCCGGCTCTGCTCTCTTGGTGACTGATTGCAGCTCTTCATATCCAGCGCCAACTTCTCCCCTTGTTCCAATTGCGTGTTTCCCTACCTTTACATAACCTCTCTGCTCTGTGTTTGATCAACTTCGGGAGGGTCACTGCCATCCGCTAGTCAGCCAAGTTCAAACCTTACGCCCCTCTTTCCCCATCTAATCTACCCAGTTGCACATGTGCACATCCCTCTGCACTGCTGATGCCGCCGCTGCGGTCTCACCGCTTCCGAAGGCTCTTCCCCGCCCCAGCCTCTCCTCGCTCCCCTCTGCGTGGCTGACAAGTGACCTTCCCGTTAAAGAGTTCTGACGCTATTCCTTCCCAGCTCAGACATCTACATACCAAGGATAACTTTGGGAGCACAGTGGAGTCCTTCCTAATCAACTTCCTCCTGCAGGGGTCCTCCTACTGCCCACACTCCAACATCCCTGTCAGGACGCGGACACCACACATGCACAACCAGGCACACCTCTCCCCACTCGCTCCTGGAACCTTGTCCCCCTTCATGGGTCTCCAACGACCTCCCAGCAGGAAGCACCACTGTCCTGGCCGCCTGCTTCGTTTGGGCGCTTGGCCAGTGCCTCCCCTTCAGCACTCATCAGCTTGGCCCTTCCGTTACTGACCCGGGCACCTGTCCTAACCCCGTGAGGGCAGAAATCGTGTCCTCTGCATCTCTGGGCTCTCTGCTGTCATCAGCACAGTATTGGTACTATGTACTGAATGAATGAAACTGCACTCCTAATCTCGTTACAGTAGGACATAAATGTCCAAAAGGTGATTTTATAGAGGGTCAATGAATGAGGCCAAGGTTACAGGTTCAGTTCTTATAATGTTCATTTAGCTTCGCACAGAGGAATAAAAAATCCAGAGGCACAGACTGTTCTCGGAAGTTCAGTCAGCTGTCCCACCGACATACACATGATCATCACAGAAGACAATCCACTGAGTGAGGGTGGGCCAGGACAGCTCCAGTTTCTACTGACACCTTATCATATGGTTATCTTTGAAAGAGAGATGGTACCTGGTTGAGAGGCTGTACACCCAGTTTTAAGAAAGACATTAGTACATTTTATAAGGGGGAGGAG